TGACGATGGCGTGGAAGAATGGAGACATGGAAATCCGCGTCCTTCAGGTCTATTGCTGCAAACCAATCCCGAGGACGAACGCACCGGAGGATGCGCTTCTGCGTGAGCATTCTGAACGGCAGCTTGTGCAGACAGCGGTTCAAAACGTGCAGATCTAGGATTGGCTGTGACCCACCGCTCTTTTTGGGCACGATGAAGTACGGGCTGTTAAACCCGCTCTCCATCTCAGCTGGAGGGAACGGCTCGAATGCATCCTTCGCCAGGAGGACAGCAATCTCCTCTCGCAAGACAGGGGTGGACAGGGGGCTGACCCTGGTAAAATACACATTAGTGAACTTGGGGGGCCGTTTCGCAAACTGGATCGCATAACCGAGTCTGATTTTGCATATGAGCCACCATGAGGGGCTGGCCCACGTTAACCAGGCAGGCAGAGCTCTCGCTAATAAACTCATAGCTACAATCGCTGACGTACCAGCAGTGGGGCTTTTCTGGATCGCCTGTCTGAGGGACGTTTCGCGGTCCGTTTACCGGACTTAACGGCGCCCTGGGCAGGGGGCCTGCCGGCTTTTGACGTTTCTGCCTTTAGCTCTGAGGGAGGCAGATAACCTACAGGCTTTGGACAGGAGACAAGGCAGAGCAGCCCGGGAAAGCACGGCTAACATGTCCGTCTCAGGATCCATTCTGACGGTGCTCACCTGCCTGGAGGGGGCGAGCGGGTCTGGATCATCGCGGACGGTGTCAGCGAGCGTGAGGGCTACCATCTGGTTAGACGGATCGCTTCCCCCGCCGAAGCTTGGATAGAGCGCTTGGAGGAGCGGGAGGTCCATAAGCCCGTGGGCGGCAAATTATATCCCGCTGAAACCCTCAGATATGCCAGAGTGCCCGCTGCAGAGCAGGGGACAGCTGGGGTGGTTCGCCCCTTTGCAAGGGCTAGCTGCGATCTCAATTGTGCAACAGTCATGGCATCGCAATGACAACATGGACTGCCCGCGAGCACTGCATTAACATGTTGTACCCCCTATCGTGCTCATCATCCGGAGACAGGAAACCACCGCATCCAGAAACGCACAGTCAGTGCGCCATCCTGAAAAGGACGTGCTGCATGACTGTGTTGCTCTTTTAGGAACTAAGCAACTTATACGCACCGCTCTGGAGGACCGGACCCAAAGAACGCCAGGCAAGGGAGAATCCCAGCTCGCCCGTCTGCCGCCGCGTATACCCACTCTGGACCAAGAGAATTCTCGTTCGCTCAAATTGCTGTAGATAGCAGGAGGAACCCTCATCGACTCAATCAGAAGGCTGTGAAGTCTCTGAAGCGAAAAGGATGGTGTGTCCTTGCTTTACCTGTGCTTATATGTGGAGATAATTGGCAAAAAGGCACACATGCGCAAGCTTACGCTGCCAATTCATTGGCATTTCATTGGCCCGTTGTATACTCTTTCAGACAATTGGCTTTCTGAAACGAAATCTCCCAATCAGTGGATTATAATTAAATCCACTAATAGCATTGGAGTTCCCCATCCGAAGGGGAACCAAGAAATTGGATGAAATCTTTAGTTTTGGCCAATTGTTGGTGCTTGGCTGAATTGCAGATCTAAGTCATCTTATGTGAACTAAGGGAAATCTAGTTGTATGTACAGGACTTTTCTTTGATCTTGAGCAACCCTTGCCACAATGATGTAGGCCATAACACACTTACTCTTTAGCTGTTTTTTTTTTTTTTTTGAGTTTATTAGAATTCAGATACTGTACAGAGTCATTTCATTATTTAATGTTTTAGTTTGGGATTTAAAATGTAAGAACACACTGTATAAATTGATTAAAAATATATTTAGCTGTTGGATTAGTTAGAAGTTTGTGGAAAATAATCTAAATCTAAATAAATCTAAATAAATTAGCTCCTTTTATTCCTGTTGCAATCAGTGCTAAAAACTATGCAGTGCTTCAGCATGCAAATGCAAGATGTGTTCTTTGACAAGGTGTAATTGCATGTATGCTTATTTATTACGTACTACACAGCAAATTCACTGGTGTTAAATTTCAAGTGTTGTGGTAATTCAGAGAAAAGTGTTAAAATTCTAGAGTTAGATAAAGGTAAAATAACCCTCTCGGCATTAGAAGCTGGTTTGCCTCCTTGTCATACAGAGTAACATGTATCTACCTTTGTAGAAAACCCTTGTATTTGAGAAACTAATCAGTGTCTGAAATCTCGCCACACCTTCATTCACCTGGCCAATAAATTGGTCAATTAGTTTAGTCCACTAGACAGAGTGAATGACCACAAATAAGTGAATTCAGACACATGCTGTTGAACACCTGATGTTAACAAGCACAATCACTGAAGGAATAAGAAATTAAAGGAAGAAATAAAACTACAGACACAGCCTCACACCAAACCAACTGAATTAAAACAGAGGATTAAACTACTCCATTAAATAATAGTATAAGCAGCTTCACTGATTACAGTTTGACTTCATTTCTGTAAGAATATTTGACAATGAACAGAGGTTTATATTTTTTATTAAAAATTATTTCATTTGACCTCACCATCATGGAGATCAGAGGCTGCTTATTTGAGCTCTTGAAGCTTTATTCTTATACTCCTCTGAATGTTATAGCTGTGTTTCTAAAGCTCTTCAGCTATAGCAAGAAAGGTCAAGAGAAACTCTACTGTTTATGCTTAATTGTTATGAAGTTTCAGGTACTTAACTTGATTGATAAAAATATGCAAACATAGTTGTATTAAAACAGCATGGGACAATTCTACTGACAGTCTGCTGCTCTTAATAGAAGATTCAACAAACAATTAGGATCCAATTGATATTTACAGCGTCATGCACTAAACATTTAAGCTCCAGCTTGCTCATTATGACACACAGAAATCAAGAATCAGGATATGAACCTCAACCATGGTTGCTAAAAAAAAGCTGCATAGTTCATGCCGCAATGCATGCTGGGTGCCAGCATAGTACAAAGCTCCCAGCATGCATTGGAGCATGAATAAATTATGCAGCTTTATGTTCTTACAATCTCTTTCTTTTCCTTTTTTTGTGTTGTTTTTGGGAGGTGATATTCAAGTAGTGTTTTTTTTTTACTTTATTTTTTTTGTTTGTCACCATTATTGAAATTCAAAGACTAATTGTTGATGTCTGTGTGTTTTTGAGTTCTGCCATAGATCAAACATTCTTATTGTAAATGGTGTTTTAAAACCTGTTATAAAGTCATTAATTATTGGAGTTTCTGTGGTTTCATTTGTGTATATTATTTATTTCTCACACATAACTAATTTCATACTGAATTAGAAAACAGGCAGGAAAAGATGGCTATGACATCATAAATAATCTCTTCAAATTGACACTTTAATTTTCTTTTGGCTTTCCATGCTATATGTATAAATAGTGTAAATAACACTATCTATAGCAGCCAAAATAAAATACATTTTTAGTAAGAAGTTGAAGAGCCTGACTAAAGCAGACTCTGTCCTCTATCATGGTGACTTCAAATGAACAACAGAAATTTCATTAAGAGCTTTTGTCCACATGACAGAAATAAAGTCAAATGTCAGTAATAGGTGAAGCTCCATGATAAGTTGTTTATTGTGATGAGGTTTTTTTTAAAGATGTTGAAAAATAAAAAAAATTATTGTGTAATTTATTTATTTTTATTGATTATTATCTTATTTAGAGTTTTTTTTCTCAGTTGATTTCATCTTTGGTTTTGGCTTGTGTTTTTCTTTCCTTCGGTGATTCTGCTTGTTAACAGTTGTTCATCAATAATTCTCAATCCTCCTTTAATTGTCTCATTAACTTCATCACTGTCTGAGTGTTCAGCCCTCTGTAGTGAGGACACTAGTTAGGATTTTGCTCTGGAATTTAAGGCTTAAGTGTGTTCGAATGAAAAATACAGACTATGGGATTTGTTTTTAACAGAAATATTCTGGAAACCGAATTTACGAATGTAAAATGTTGAAAACAGCAGATTACTGGCAACCACTGCTGCCAGTATTTTGACATACATTTAACAGATATTTTACACAATAAGAGTTTGCTAATTAACACTCTCAGAGTGTTAAAAATGTTAACACTTTCAAAAGTGTTATTTTAACACTTATAGTGGTTCCCATATAAACACTGAGGGAGTGTTAATTTTAACTCTAAGGTAGTTAAATCTACCAAACCTAAAATTTGCAGATTGAGTTTGATAAAAAAATACAGACTGTTAAATGTGTTTTTAACAGAAATATTCTGTAAACTGAATTTATGAATGTTAAAAACAGCAGATTACTGGCAACCACAGCTGCTGGTATTTTTCCGTAAAATCTAAAAATGAAAAAAAAAAAGAAAAACAGCAAAACGGTTTTTGTGTCACCATTGTGGAGGATAATAGCGTCTCTGTTCAAGTCCAAGATGAACTGAGAGTGTTTGAAATTATGCTGCATCTTCTTTTGTTTAAAGGTAACTGTGTAGTTACTAATGCTGTCAAAATCTGTTTGCTAGTTGCAATCACACATAAAAACGTTATTGCATCTAAAGACTTTACATTTATTGCACTAAGCTATGATTTTGTAAACTGAACATTGTATTAGTTCATGAAATATGATTATTTTTTGTAAATTTATACAGTTATATAAAACTTCCATGTTTTTCACAGAAAGATTCTGGCAACCACAGCTGCAGGTATTTTTTTCGGAAATTTAACAGATATTTTACACAATAAGAGTTTGCTAATTAACACTCTCTTGGTGTTGACAATGTTAACACTTTCAAAAGTGTTATTTTTAACACTTATAGTGGTTCCCATATAAACTCTTAGGGATTGTTAATTTTAACTCCAAGGTAGTTAAATCTACTATCTACAATTTGCAGTGTAGACTGCCAAGTGTTGAATGCAATAGTTTTAAATACTCGACAGCTCATTATCATCAGATAATCACCTACATGTGGAATTAAGTACAAGTTACAGTCAGTTGTTGCTAAAACATACCGAACACCTGTAGTGTAGTTTCTCCTCTAAATTGATCTCCACTACTAGAAAGCACAAACAGAACGTATGATCCAGCATCCTCCAGTTTTAGGTTCCAGAGCTCCAGAGCAAGAGTGTTTTTGTCAAAACCGGCTTTGTCTTTATATGCTGAGACTATTGAGGCTGTATCAGGGTTTCCACTCAATATAAAAGTTGCTCCAAATTGCCAGGTAACTGTATCAATCTCTGATGGTAAGTTATTAGGTGTTAACTCGACACTTTCTCCTATTGCTCCATTAGTCAGCTCAGGCAACTGAAAATCTTGACCAAAACTTTGACCTGTGGAGAAAAATCTATATTTATCTATTTATTTATTTGCTATAATGCAACTTGCATTTGTTTTATACTGTGTAGTTTAACGATAGAGAGAAACAGAAATACAACAAAGTCAAAAGATTCTTCAGAATTCTAATATATTTTCAGATCTCCCAAAAATGCATTTGTATGTTTAAGAATACCCTGATGAAAAATAAGTATACTTTAAGTTCATTTAATAAAGTTTAAAGTTAAAGGATCTCATTTATTCATTCATTCATTCATTCATTCATTCATTCATTTTCTTTTCAGCTTAGTCCCTTTATTAATCTGAGGTCGCCACAGCGGAATAAACCGTCAACTTATCTAGCATATGTTTTGTGCAGCGAATGCCCTTCCAGCTCCAACCCATCACTGGGAAACACCGATACACTCTCATTCACACACTCACACACACACACACACACACACACACACACACACACACACACACATTACGGTGTATTTTTTTAGCATACCCAATTCACCTGTACCACGTTTTTGGACTTGTGGGGGAAACCGGAACATCCGAGTAAAAAACAATACAGTAAATATAATTTACTCAATAGTTAATTTAGTTGCTGGCATCTTTTTATTATTTTTGACATAAAAGACATTTAGTTCCTGTACAGTTTTAAGAGATTAATTTTAGAGATCCTCTGCTGAGACTGAAGGTGTTTTATGCTGATTTTATTTAATGCTGTAACTGAAGTCACTGTTTGTGTTTATTGTTTCTCTTTCCTTTAGTGATTGTGATTATTCACAGCAAGTTTTCATCTCAAGTAATCTATATTAGTGAGTTAGTTTACATGGTGAATTAGGGTACAAAGTGTGATTTCAAACACAGACTTTAAATGTTGACTGAGCTCTGTTAATTCACAGTTTTCTGCTCTTGGTTACTTTCTCGAAAACAGGAATTTTACCCAGAGTGCACAATTTTTAACCCTGATTAAAAAAGACCCCAAGTAACTGTCCAAAGACATGTGGTACAGGTGAATTGGGTAAGCTAAATTGTCAGTATAGTGTATGTGTGTGAATGAAAGTGTATGGGTGTTTCCCAGTGATGGGTTGCAGCTGGAAGGGCATCTACTGCATAAAACATATGCTGGGTGGTTCATTCTGCTGTGGCGACCCCTGATTAATAAAGGGACTAAGTCGAAAAGAAAATGAATGAATGAATGAATGATTTCTCAGTTACTGTGACTGAGGTCTTGGGTAGATGTCTGATAGTAATAAGGTCAAACAGGTTAGTTTTAAGTTGAGCTGCTGATGCTATTTGTAGAGCTTTTTAATAACCCTCAGTTGAAATTTTTAAAGATTTAATGTTTTTGTTAATTTTATCAAAAAAAGACGTTGGAATACCTTTCATTCTGAATCAAAAGGGGACATCATTTTAACTCATTACTTTCCAAAATAAATGTCTAAAAGAAGTCATTTGGCCGAAATTCTACTTAGTGGATTTTATAGTCCCTCCAGCATGTTCTACGTCATTCCCAAGTTCTCCTCTCGGTGGGACATGCCTGGAACACCTCCCTATGTAGGCATCCAGGAGGCATCCAAAACAGATGCCTGACCCACCTCAGCTCACTTCTCCCAATGTGGAGGAGCAGCAGCTCTACTTCGAGCTCCTCCCGGGTGTCAGAGCTCCTCACCCTATCTATAACAGTGTGCCCTGCGAAGGAAACTCATGTAGGGCGCTTGTATACGAGATCTTGTCCTTTTGGTCATGACCCAAATCTTATGACCATAGGTAAAAGAAGGAACATAGATTGACCAGTAAATCGAAAGCTTGGCCTTTCGGCTAAGCACCTTCTTTACCACAATGGACCAATACATCGACCACTGCACCAATCCTCCTGTCAATCTCATAATAATTAATATAGTATTGTGCTAATTGTTTAATCTACGCTTATGCTCTTTGTACTTTGACTAAGTGTCCAGCAGTTTGGGCTGCAAACTAAGGTTGTGCAGCACTGACAGAATTTGGAATTTGTGCAATTTGTGTTTGACAACTTTACATTTTGTAGTGCATTTAGTTATTGTTCAAGTGCATTTGGTAATTTCAGTCTTCATACAGTAGACATCCTTCATCTTCTCATTAGTGTCACATGTCTCTCTGTCAATGTTTGTGTAGACTTTGTGTACTCTTGGGGACTTTTAATGCTTCCTCAATCTATGTTTTCTGCACTTGTAAAGCTTTCATATCTTGAGGTTGCGCAGTCTGTCTAATGCTATTTTTTTTATGTACGATTTGATCGGAGTCCAGGGACAAAAACAATTAAGTGACTGCAGGTTGAACAAAAAACGTGCAATAAAAATACAGATGCAGCACTACTATATAATAAAGTACAATTCCTGTAAAATACTACTCCATTACAGTAACTTGAGTAATTTTAACTAATTAATTTTTACCTCTGTAAATAAGTTTTGAAAAAATGATTCTGCAAGTGAAAGTGATCATTGTAGGAATGCACAATCTAATGTTTTGTACTTTGGACACCCTAAGTGTTTGACTTTTCTGAATGTGGTTTTAGAGCTTTGAACAACTAAATAAAGTTTTGTTATTAAGGATAATGTTTTGTGGTCTGCAGATGTTTGGGAGAAATGCAGAATTTATTTGACAGAATGTACAGTAAAACAGTAGTAAATTAGAATTAAAAACATAAAAAAACTACACATGTTCAACAGTATCATATAAACTGAAAAAAATATTCACAATTTATTTATTTAACCATTTTATAGAGAAATTCAATACATAACATTATTAAATAAATAAAAAGACTCACCAAAACATGCCACTATCCACAGAGTCCAGAGTAAACCACGAGAAACCATCATGATCAAGTCTCTGAAGCTCAACTCATTCCAACTCTTAGTTTCAGGGACAGTAAATGATAAATAGCTGATACAGAATAAGGACAGAAAGATACCTGCGCCATCTAGTGCTTATGTGAACATGAGAACACCATGGAAGCACTGCCTACTACATGGGGTGGGCAAAAATACATAAAAAAAATAAATAAATAAAGAGTATATTAAAAAAACAGCAGCCACAACTAGTATCACAATAAATAGTGTATTTTATTTTTTTTAATACTCCAAATTCCTTTTAAAGAAAGCAATAAATTTCTTGGCAAACCTTCTATCAGGCCTATTCTATCAATCCCTTAATTAAACTGACCTGACTTGTGGCCTAATGGTTAGAGAGTTGGTGTACCCAAAGTGTTTTGGTAACCCAAAGGTCCCAGTCCTAGCAGAACCTGAAGATGAGGGGAGCGAATGAACTGCACTCTCTCTATCTTTGGTACCCCTCAGAAAGGTATCAAACCCTTAAAGCACACACAAGTACTTTTTAAATTAAAATCTGACAAAAGTGAGTTTTTTCAATGTCACACTAAAGCATTGAAGTGGAGTATACATAGCTCTAAAGTATAAATAAAAAATCAGAACTGTAGTTATCAATAACATTGATTGATGAAGATGAATAACATTATTGGAAAGAAAATATGTAATCACAGAGTTAAAAAATCTAAAAACAGCCCAGAAAAAAATTAAAATTAAAAGCGAGATCTCTTTATCTCAAATATTTCTCCTAGACAGAAATGAAATTACTTTACAATCAAATACTTTTAAGTAAATTTACTTCTCACATTCATCTCATGAGACGAAAAACTCTAATGCTACCACTGACGTTTCTTAAGAGATCTTTTCAATGTCTCAGAATGTTCTTAGACTTTTCTTCATCATAAAAAATCTGGTGCATTACTCCTCTAAAGTTTTACTGGAGATTTCATAAACATCATACATCATACTACATACCAAGTCAAAGGTCACAGTAGACACTCAAATGATTTTTAAATGGCTTTATAAACATTTTTAAGAGTGGTAGATCTCAATTATTTTCTTTCTTTTATCTACTTCTCTTTCTGTTTCTGATTTCATCATTGTGATCGGGTGTGGCAGGAATCAGGTCTGGTTGTGGCTAGAGAAATAAAACTAGAGGATTCAGAAATCTTGATTTCTGATGCAAGTTTTTTATTTCACAATATGCAAAGTGCTGTATAAACAAAAATGTTCACTATTGTGGAAATTCACAGATTATTGTCATTAATCATGTCAAAAAAGATAGCTTGCTAGGTTTCTGGAGTGTGGCGCTCTTTAATATCAATGTGTTCACAAATGGCGACTTCAATATCACAGACAATATTGCTTCAATATATTCAATGTCACTAGTCCTCCAGGGATTAATTTGATAGCCAGGAGCTCCCAATTGCTGATATTGCTGATATCATAATTTTGCTCCACTGGAGACAGTTTTCTAGAGATGTATGGGCAAGGGTGGAGGCGTATACAGAGGAAGATTGGAAAAAAACAAGAAAAAGGTAACCTGATAGAATTAAAATGATCAATTGGGCTATGTTGCAAGCTAAAATTAAGAAGCAAGTCATTATTTGATTAAACATGCACAATTAGATTTTCAATCTTAATAGACCAATTATAACGTATCATTAAGCTGGTTTAGATTTAGTTTTTTTGCCTTCTGTGTAAAATATTTTTTGGATAATTATGTAATAAAAATAAGCTTATAAATAATAAATTTGGTACTGAAAACACAACTGGGTATTGCAAATCATCTTAAGGCAGTGAATATACATTCATACATCCTTATGTTTCATGCATCTGTTCCAGACTGTTTGGCATACTTTGCACGTCTTAGGTAAAAATGGTGTTTAGCTGTCAATGTTCAGCCTGGTTCCATGGAATAGACAAGGATGTCATCAATGTAAAAGATAACAAAGAGATGGAGACACTTCAGAAAAAACTCATTCATGAAGTTCAGGAAGATGGCTGGAGAAATGGGACAATCCATACAGCATGACCTACTTGTAGTAGGAAGCAGGAGTAACAAAAGCCCTCTTTTTAACTAATCATCCTTCCTGATGTAAACAAGATTATATGAAGTAGGTCCACATTTGAAGCTATATTGTCTCTGACTGTGGTTTCTGTTTCTCTTGTCAGTCACAGAGACAATTTGAGGTGAAAACAACAACAAAACCACTAATTACAAGTTCTACATTATTGCATGTGCATAATGTCACTGCAAAAATAACAAACAAACAAAAACTGCACAAATATTGTCTTCATTTTTTTAGAAAAGCTGCTATAAAGTCAGTTATTGCATCTTTTTTGTTACTTAGTAATTCTCTTTAGGTTCTAAAGTATATTTTATTTATAGTTTGTATTAGATATTATAATTGGGTTTAGTGTGAGTTGGTGTAAAGAGAGTCATCAAAGGATTTTATTATAAATACAGAATTTAAATGAACAGTTTTAAAATTACTGAAATGAATGATGATAATTATTCATGATATTTGTTTGCTTGACCAAAGATTAATCTTAGCATCTTGTATGGACTTTGCATCTATTCCAGAATCAAATGCGGAAGAACTACAGACAAAAAAAAAAAAAAAAAAAAAAAAACAAATGCCTACAATATTAATAAGTTGTAAATAACAGCCATATATGTTTACCAAGCCTCGCTATTTATGACCAGAACAAAATGCCTTCCTCATTTCGTTTCCTCAGATGACACTGTATTCTGGTCCAAAGGTGATTTGATCAGGAATGTAACTTCTTTTTTTATTATTATTATCCTAATCAGTTTTATCTTCGATTTTTTATTACTCTGTGCAGGAGGAGAGAAGTAGGGGTTAGTCTTGTGATTTCTAAAAAGCTCATCCAAGTGATAGTAAAACAATATTTAAGAAATTAATTCAAATCTTAAATTCAAACCCTAAACTCAAATCTTTATGGTGAGTGTGAATAACAAGGTTGGACTTGCTAATTTAACAATGAATAGTAATGTACAGTATATATCAAACATGTCAGTAAATATTACATTTAAATTTTGCAGCCAATACATTTTTCTTTTCACCAAACTGCTGACCCTCCAAACCAAAAGTAAATCCAAACACAACATAAAACTAAACACTGAACAAACTGTTCTCCTTCCATTGTTGTGCAAAAAAAAAAAAAAAAAAAAACACCCGGAATTAAATAAACAAAAACTTAATTTTGCAGCTGGAAGGGCTTCAGCTGCGTAAAACATATGCTGGATAAGTTGGTGGTTCATTCCGCTGTGGCGACCCCAGATTGATGAAGGGACTAAACCGAAAAGTAAATGAATGAAATGAAATAACTTTATTTTAACCTTTAATTTTTAATAAACAAATTGAGTGGTTAAAGTTCAGGTTAAAAAATTACAATTTAATTTCATTCAACTTATCTGTTAATCACAATAAACTTTAATTAATATTTGAATAAAGAATCCATTTTTATAACATTATTTTGACATGTTTTATAGTAAAGACACAAATAAACATTTAATACCAACAATGTATTGTATGAATTACAGAAAAATCTGTGTGAACATGTAATCTGCAGGAGCATTCAATGCAGTAGCTGTTTATGTTTTCACTTCCTCGCCTGCACACAGAAAAAAAAAAAGGTTGACACCTTAAGTGTGTCATGAAATGATTCAATTATTTTCTCAGTGTATAACTGTGACATGCCAGAAAAAAATAAATAGGCTAGCTCTTATTTTGTGATGCAGTCAAAACAGACGTGCCAAACAATGGATTTATAAATTAAGAAACTTCTCACCTGAAGTGGGGGAGCCGTTGAGCAGGAGGGCCTGTTTGGAGCGTGAGTTTCTAAGTTTTCATAGATGATTTCATTCCGATTTTCATATATCCGATTTCCATCTCCATTAGTATCTGAGTAATTATTAGTTTCTTCAAAACTTATATCCTACAAAATATATAAATATATTCTGATATTACAACATATAGCATTACATGAAAGAAAGTCTAGCAGTAAAAATAAACTCATGGATTCTTCAATACAACGAATACACTTCAATCAGATGAGACCTATACATGTACAGCATGTGTTTGTAATGTGTCACTTGAAATCAGACTCAATGTTTTAAATTAGTTTTTTTTTCCAATATAAGATTAAATTGGCTTTTCCCAGAAAAAAAAAACAGTGGAAAGTTACTCACAAGCTCCTGTCCTCTTTGTGCTGTGGCTTAAATACAAAAAACAGTGCGTTCAGACTGAGAGAAATATGACTGAATCATCTGTGGTGTGAATTGATAATCTGAAATCTTGTGTACAGTAAGATGGCCATTATCAAGTTTAATGTAACGAAGACAGCTGTTATTCAATTAAACGATAATCAAGAATTATACTATGAAGAATAAACATACCTCCTCTTGCTTTATCCTTTTTCTGAAAGTTTGGTTTTGGACTGTTTTGTAAAGACAAAGATATTATGTTACAATTATGTCAGAAATAAACAGCTTATGAGAGATCTTATAACATCTTCTCTGAGGGTGCTTTCACACCTAAACTTTTGTTTCGGAACCTTTCTCATTTGCCCATTTAGCATGGTTCATTTGGCATATGTAAATCCAGCAATCATGCTCAGATCCACACCAAATCAATCGCTCCGAGGTCTCTTGAATGAGGTGGTCTAGGCTTGATTGAAACGAACTCTGGAGCGGATCGATTGCAGAGAGAAAGCGATACAATCTGAGCCCGGTTATATCACAGTGTTTTATAGATTTGTAAAAGTCATTCCAGACATCCCAAGTCTCCGTTTTAAGAGTCTCCCACAAATGCACAGACACTTCCGGATGCCCGCAAACGAGTGATAAACTCCTGAAAATCACGCGTCTCCCTTCCAGTCCTAAAATACATTGCGCACCCATCTCACCCCCCTCCCCTGCATTCCTCCTCGCTCTTCAGACACATCGTACGCACCTTGTCAAACACCACCAAACCACTACCACCCCCTGACAGCAGAGCAGGAGAGTTTACTCACACGTGACATGTTTTAGCTCTTTTGGTCTGTTTAGAAACTTTGCTTTGTGAAAGCGAACCGCACAGAGAGTAAAGAGCAACAATGTAATAATTGTAAACTCTGTTTCGGAACAACCGAATTGATTCAAAGGTGTGAAAGCACCCTAAGATAACAATGTCTTATTATTTATTTAATAATGATCACAAAAAAAAAACATATTTAACATGTTCATTAATGATGAGTTGGCATAGGTCCTGGGTGTTGCAACAAAGTAAATTCCTTTGAGGGTAACTCAATTTATCTAGATTGCTCTTAGGGCTCCGCAAAACTTTCCTGTTTTGGGGATTGAGCAACCTATTCTGAATTCTCCCCCCAAAAATGTGGAATGAGGTTAATTTTTTTTAGGGCTGTCTAAAAACTAAAGATTTTCTTAGTCAACCAGTAGTTGATGGTCAACTATTTAATGGAATTAGGCCTACTTTAGCGAATACATGGGGAAACGGTTTGAGTTTAAGGGCTGAGAAAGAATGTAATTTGTAAGATTTTTATGTTGTACAGAAATACAAAATTCGCACGCACTGTCGCCTCACAGCAAGAAGATCAGTGGTTCGTGTCCTGGCTGGGCCATTTGACATTTCTGTGTGGAGTTTGCATGTTCTCCCTGTTGGCGTGGGTTTCCTCTGGGTGCTCCCGTTTCCCCTATAGTCCAAAGACAAGCGGTAAAGGTGAATTGAATAAGGTAAATTTGCTGTAGAGTATGTGTGTGAATGAGAGTGTGTATGGATATTTCCCAGTTCTGGGTTGCAGCTGGAAGGCCATCCGCTGTGTAAAACATATGCTGGATAAGTTGAAGGTGGTTTATAAGGTGGTTTATTCCGGATACTCCTGAAGGACTAAGCCGGTAAGGAAAATGAGTCAATGAATGGTTGAATGAATGAATGAAATACGATATTATTAAGCATTAAATTTGACTTTAAGAACTCGCTCATGCATAAAATAGCCCCGACAAATTACATGATTATGAATGTGTCAGGCAAAACGATATGGAGCTTAGATTAATATTTGTAATATATTAATGTAATAAAAGGTTAACATTCACAGAAATTACAACTTTTGAACTTGCCAAAAATAAAACACATCTTTTGGTAAATAAACAGAATATATTACAAAGTGTGTCTTCGACAGAGGCAATGTTGTGTCCAAGTGGGTAGTATGTTTGCCTCACAGCAAGAAGGTTGCTGGTTCGAGCCTCGGTTGGGTCAGTTAGCATTTCCGTCTGGAGTTTGTATGTTCTCCCCGTGTTTGCTTGGGTTTCCTCTGGGTGCTCTAGTTATTTCCACACAAGTCCAAAGATGTGGTACAGGTGAAATAGGTATGCAAAAATTCACTAAAGTGTATGTTTGTGAATGAGTGTGTTTCCCAGTGATAGATTGTGGCTGGAAGGGTGTACGCTGCATGAAACATGTGCTGGATAAATTGGTGGTTCATTCCGCTGTGGCAACCCCAGATTAATTTAAAAGAAAATGAATAAATGAATCTTTGATAGCATAGTAGGCCTTTGAGGAAAGTCATATGAAAACATTTTAAACAAAATAGTCAAACGCGAATTCTAATATCAGTGAAATATCAATAGAATAGTCAAAAAGTCTTTCCTTAGCTATTAAATATTAGTCAAATATATAAATAAACTAAATTAAACACAACAAATATACAGAAAGCCGAAAAGGCTTACGAGAAATGATGTTGAAAACAGCAAACACAGTCCTTCTGAAGGACAAGCTTAAAAAATAAACAGTGTTTATGAACAATGATAACTGGCACTAAGCCTATGAAGAGCCTTAAAATGAATCAGTGAATAAAAAACATGTTTTTATTTTAATATGTTTCCAAAAAAAAAAAACATTAAAATGAATAATAAATTATACGCTATCAGCACACAACCTTCGATTTTTTTTTTTTCAATTTATGAAAAAGGAACACAAGTTTGTACACTTTTTGGGAAGAAGTAAACTCCGTATATCCATGCCTTATCCACAATGAACCTGCCTTAAAAAAAAATGTACTTAGATGGATTGAATGATCCCACAGTTCCAGATTCCTTCCCGACATCATCTATCAACCTATCTAAAGGGTTAATGGTGCCAACTGATGAGCAACAGTAACTAATTTAACCTGTTCACCAGAAGGAAAACCCCCAACAATCAATAATGCATAGTGTCATGGCTTTGCAATCAAAAAATGTCATTATAATGTATGTCAATGAGGCAAAACAGCCATGAACATTACAAAAGGGTAATACATTTGAATAATATACAAGAGTAAAATGACTCACATTATGTTGTTTTTTGTAAAATAGACAATCAGACCACAAATTCCTGAAACTGCCACTGAAACACCAATGGCAATCCCAACTACCGCTCCGGTTGACAGCCCTCCACCTCCAACTATGGATACAAAAAACAACAGACCAAGGTCACACAATACTGAATGTAATGCACTTTGTTCTTTATTAAAGAAATATAAAAGTTAAAACAGCTCAAGGTTATTAAAGAGAATTATTTTTTATTATTTGTAAGTAGTTTCTGTCTACCTTGAATGCGTAAAACATGTCTTATTGATTCACTTCTGTTTGTGACTCTATTATAGGCTGTACAGATGTATTCTCCACTGTCTGTGAGATCGGTCTTATCAATGGTGTATTTGTCTGTGGTCACACCAGTGTCTGACCCATTAAATGTCCAGCTGAATGAAGCAGAAGGTTCAGAATTTGCAAAGCAAGACAAAAACACTTGAACACCTAAATTCATCTCATCTGGACCCTTAATAGAAACACCTTCTGGCCCATCTAGAACACAGACAAGAGACTCACTGTTAGAGGAACAAACTGAGAGCTGAAGAATGTCTAGATTTCATCAGATCTGATGTTCAAATGTTTCACACTCACAGTTGATGATCAGGGTGAGTTTTGCTGTCTCAGAGCTGACAGGGTTACTGTATGTACACTGATATTCTCCAGTGTCTGATCTCTGCACTGCACTGATGGACACTGATCTGTTATCAGATGAGAAGATGATTCTGCTGCTAGAAGACAGAGGACTGTTATCCTTCATCCACTGCACAGAGGTTATGGTGCCGCTTCCCTCAGAGGTGATGTTGGCAAATGATTCATCCTCGATTAAGGTTTCTTCTGGACCAGTAAGCCTCACATTTGTTATGTTTTCTATGAGAGGGAGGGGAATCCACAAAAAATAAACAAAAAATATATATATATTCACAAAAAAATTATACACAAAAAAGTAAGAGATTGTAAAAATAATAGCAAGACTTTGTTAACTGCTTAAGGCACCGCAGTAGCACTCTTGCGTTAAAACTCCTGCCCTAACTTCCACTCCATTTGGATCATAATATTTAAAGTTAAGTATTTAACAAACACACAATTATTTCAGGCGATACAGTGGCTTAATGATTAGCACTGCTGTCTAACAGCAAGAAGGTTGCTGGTTCAAGTCCCGGCTGGGCCAGTTGGCATTTCTGTGTGGAGTTTGCATGTGTGAAATTCCCCAATGGTGACAGCTAATGTGACTTTATGACAGTCAAACACACCCAAATACTTTTAATTTAAGGGGAATATTCATTCATTCATTTTCTTGTCGGCTTAGTCCCTTTATTAATCCGGGGTCGCCACAGCGAAATGAACCGCCAACTTATCCAGCAAGTTTTTACGCAGCGGATGCCCTTCCAGCCGCAACCCATCTCTGGGAAACATCCACATACACATTCACACACACACTCATACACTACAGACAATTTAGCCTACCCAATTCATCTGTACCGCATGTCTTTGGACTTTGGGGGAAACCGGAGAACCCGGAGGAAACCCACGCTCCACACAGAAACGCCAACTGAGCCGAGGATCGAACCAGCGACCTTCCTGCTGTGAGGCGAACATGCTACCCACTGCGCCACTGCGTCGCCTTATGGGGAATATAATTTAATAAATATAATTCAATAATTCATACTATTTAGTATGAATTATTGACAAACTATTTAGCACATCCTCATATGTTTAATTTGAACAAGAAAAGAAATGTGCATCCTAAAACATTAATATATACATAAATGTTATAGAAACTAAAAAATGTAACTTTCTCAAACATCAACATGTTGCTACAACACCAATTTTACAACACCAAGACTGATTGTATTTATTGAAAAGTAATGCTTCATTTAATGATCTGCCAGAGAATTACCTTTTTTAGAATTAAAAGTATCTCTCCGTATTTTAACCCCAGTTTTTTAACCCCAATTTGCAAATTTAAGAGAATTTTGATCATTTACATTTAGAGCACATTTAGGGTCTCTGTCATGTTATTGTATTAGAGAGAACTGTTACACACACATTATTTGCTATATGGAATGCAAATCTCTAAAGCTTAATATCTCAAAATAATTCAGAACACAGATAGAACCTTATAATTCTAAGGTGACAATATGTAATTACAAACTTTTATCTTGTGTGCAATTATTGTGTTATTACACTGTAATTGCATTGTAGTTACATCCAAGATAATATTTATAAATGTAAATGTTTCTTTCTTACACTCTCAGAAATAAAGGTATGCGAGCTGTCACTGGGGTGGTACCTTTACAAAAGGTATAAATTTGTACCTAAAAGGTCCATATTAGTACCCAAAAAGTACAGGTACTAATAGGTACCAATATGGACCTTACAAGTACAAATGTGTACCTTTTAAAAAAGGGACCACCCCAGTGACAGCTCACATACCTTTATTTCTGATAGTGTACAGTATTTGGTTATTTTTAGTTAAACACGCAATTATACACAGAACACATGTAATTAGAAGTTTAGTCACTATGTCATTACATTGTAAATACATTGTTATTGCATTGTAGTTATATCCAAGATAATATTATTATCCTAAATGTTTATTTGTATATTTCATGTACGGTTATTGTGTAATTATACATAAATATACGCAGAACAAATGTAATAAAACTTTTATTTTTGATGTAATTATTATGACATTGCATTATAACTACTATATAATTACATTAATATAACATTGTAATTACATTGACATAACATTGAAATTTTATCTATGATAGTATTGTTAATGTCATTTTCTATATTTCATGTACAGTACAATATGTTTTAAATTGTGCATTGAAGAGTACAATTGTAAAAAATATATAGAAATGACTAAAACTGGAGATTTTAGTGGTTTTCAGAAATCATGATTTTTGACATTTTTGAATATAAAACTTTTAAGAGATGGTGGCAATTTTCACAATCGAGATATATTATGATAGTCCAACACATTATATGGATTGAATGATTTTTACAGTGATTAAAGGAATCATCTTCAAGACGTTACTTTCTGTATGAAATTTGTTCAAAATCTATGCTAAAATCAAAGAGAAACACAAGTTAAATTGTTTTTTTTTTCATATTTAGAAGAAGGGAATAAGTTGACAGAGAAGCTGAAATAAAGTTGCCCGGAGAAAAGCTGCTGCAGTTGTTGTAAAAAAAATAAATGAGTAAAAAGAAGAGAGAACCCAGTCCAGGAGACTCGAAACAAGCAGAATTCCTTTATTGAGACGTGTTGGTTAATCTGCAGTCATACAGCGTCTTTTAGATTTCCATGTGTCTGCAAGAGCCTACTAGAGGTCCGCAGTCTGCAAGTTCTTTCACAAGTCTCTCACAAGTCTCACACAAGTCTGAATTAAGACAAAGATTTCATGGCTATATTGTGTTCTTAGGAGGAGGGGATATGGCTAAACAAAGCATGCAAATTAAGAGTTGTGGTCGGCAGGGTAAACTGCTTCTCAGGTCTAATTTCATCATGTTCTGGAGACAGAAACCGCCTGACCATTTGATCGAAAAGAGAAAACAATAGACACCCCATGCTGTGAAAATGATAATTGCATCACTTTGGCTTAGCCTGTAGTCAGCAAGGCAAAGGTTAAATGACCCTCCTAGCTGGCATGTCAATGAAATAATATAATTAAAAACCAGAGAATATAACTTTTTAGTTATACGTAGATTATTGTTAATTTGAAATTACATGATAGAAATTTATATTTCCACACTGCACTACACAGAATCCCCCCGAACTGTAATTCTATTTGACTTATGTTTATTGGTTAAAAGTACTCAACATTGAAATATTGTTTTACAGAAATCCAAAGGTCCTAACAGCTCTCCTGATTCCGTAAAGGCTTGAAGTGTCAGCATTACGATGGCCAACACTCACTCACTATCCTTTGGCTCCCTCATTCATAAGAGGCACCACAGCAGAATGAATTAGCAATTACTCTTCACTTTCCAACCACAACCCAGCACTGGGAAACACCCATATACTCTCTCATACACCTGCACACATTCACTCACTACGGCCAATTAACCAATACTGTACGCATGCCTTTGGACTGTGGGGGCAACCGGAGCACTCAGAGGAAACCCACACAAACACTGGGAGAACTTGCAAACTTGACACAGAAACACCAACTGACCCAGTCGGGACCCCTCAAATGGTTCCAAATAGAACCATGTAACTTAAATTCAAAGAACCAATTGGGGTTCTATTTGATGAACCCTTAAAATGGTTCTATTTAGAACCTTTTTGGGGTTCCATATATGAAGCACTTGATAAAACCATTTTTGGTTTTATATAGAACAATTTCTTTTAAGAGTGTACTGCACAGTCTAAATAAATTGGTTATTTTATTTATTTCACAAAATAATTTGTCAAAAATGTTAAACATTGAGTATATATAAACTAGGCCTATAAGTTATATGCTAATGTACAAACCTGCATGAAAAAAATCCTATCATACTGCGCACTGATTAAGTTTTTGACCACAGCATTCATTTTATTAGGCTTTGACTCAAAAAGCTTTGTCTCTCTGTGTTATAGCTTATAATTATTTTATAATCTTTACTACATAATTATGTTATGATTAAAAAAATTATAGAACCATTTTAATCAAAAAGGTTCTTTGCACTCAAAGGGTTCTAAATGGAACCATTACCTTTTTGGGTAAAAGGTTCTAATGGCCAAGTATAGAACGCCAAGGTTCTATATAGAACCTCAACGAACCTTTTTTTTTTTAAGAGTGTAAAGTTCTGTCAAACTCCGAAGCAAATCACACCACATCTACATCTCATCTGATAAGATTTAGTCAAACTGCTTGCACTGGGAATACTGTAGTTGCTATCCTAACAGTTTGTTGGCTATAATTCTCTTCTGGCGACTGAGCATCATGATGCGCACCTGCCTTTTTCTCTGTTCATCTTCCATTACTGTCAAATACTCTCACGTTTTTCATTGAACTCGCGAGCAGACCTCTTAACCATGCCCACATAATAACGTAACAGGTAAAGAATGAATGTACCGTTAGAAAACAGAATAATTAAACAATCTTTTGTACAACTGCCAAAATCAAACTCTGAACTTTAAAAGTCACCACTCAGTAGAAACTGTGTAAAATGGAATGTTGTTATGGGCTTTACTTTAATCCATGATTAAATAACATTATGTTTGGTGTCTCAATGTGGTCGAATCACAAGCATATCTTTCCCAATTCATTCAAGAGGTCTTTTGTAGACTTTATTCATAAGTTGTCAAGAGGGAGGGCGGGACCGTCTCGAGTTGGGAGCTCATTGGATGGTGACACTTCTTCTTTCAGCTTTTGGCTCAATGGGGTGTAAATCAAAGATGGGCGGCCATTTTGTTGACCAAAATTACTAGTGTTTGTTTATGTGTAGAAGATGCTGCTGCGCTCCAGTGACTAGCTTGGATGACAACAGCTTATTCTGTGATGTTTCTCTACGCATGACGTGCCCAAACCAATGCTTATGCCTGGATCCTTGCAGCCAAATTAATTTAGAATGTTATGGATCTGTGGACAAGCGGGAGGCCTGAAAGGTGAGTTCTTTCGTTGTTTGCTTTTTTAGTCATGAATCTTGTCTTTCAAAAGATATATAACGTTAAATGTTTAGTCTTTGTTGGGGAGTAGTTATTTTTTGCGAGGCTTCCCCTTAAAGCATGCTATATACGTTACCGCAGGTGCACCGCTAATGTTCTGCTTTATTGCAATGGCTTGGATCGCCGGCGTCTTGAGAGTTTAGTCTCAGTTTGTTGACTGTGTTGTGTGAGGCAGTTTGAAGTAGAAGGTGAAAGAGCTGGTGGGCCGACGTTTTTCGGGAACTTGGGCTTGATTGCTGCGAGGCTGCAGCTGGTTTCTCGGGGAGAGCAGGGGTTCTGGCTGGAGCTGTTGTTGTTGTTTGTTGTTGTATGTTTATTCTTCCGTATCGATAGGTTAAAAGGTACGATGCTGGAGCGTTTTGTAGCAGGAACCATTATTCAAAACAAAGATGGCTGTCATATGGAACTTAGGGTATTCATAATGGGTTAGGAATTATCAGATTGGTGAATCATAAATTGAATATAGCGGAGCGGCTGCAAGCAATCATAAGCACACGATCCTCTCGAAATTAGTTATAAATTAACTTCACTTAATGTGCACTGAGTTAAACAGACAAGTGAGTAGACATTTCAGCAACAACAGCAAACAACAATTATTTATTCTTTGTTGTATTCAGACTTAAATACTTAAGCACAGTCAAATACTTTAAAAATCCAGTTTGTGCAATGTCACACTACATGTGCTCTTTATAAAAAAAAGCAAATTTAATTGTACATTTATTATAGATAAAACAGTTTTATATCAATCACAATGCTTGGTAATGATAATGAACATGATTGGAAATAAGATAATTCAACTCATTAATAAGCTCAACCTACATTAATAACAGTCACAAGATAATTCAACTCATTAATAAGCTCGGCCTACATTAATAACAGTCACAGAGCATTTCTTATTAGCAGAGTGTGGTGTGAATTTGAGGATGATTGTCAGTTTCTGCAAATGGAGAATTCAATACCAGATCTATAAATAAACTACTGAAATACGACAATACATGTAATTTGCAGTAGATGTTTCAGTGTCTTTACTTCTTCACCTGCGTACAGGAGGAGCATTTGATACCTGAAAATAGAAATTATGCAAATATGTTATAAATGTAAGCAGTCAAATGATTTCCTTATGCAGAGCTTCATCTGCTGAATAAATAAGACTCATTTTATGACTATACATCTATGACCTTCAGCTGACTGAAGTACTAGATTAATTATTATAAAACTGCTCACCTGATGTTCAGAAGCTTGTGGCTTGTTTAAAACTCCATGTTTTAGATTTTCATATTCACTTTTATACTCAACATTCTCATATGTTTGAGCTTCGCTGACCTTCTCCAGATTCATATTATTTTCTTTGGCATTCTGGGATTCAGTGATTTCTTCATAGTGCAAGTCCTACAAACAGTTAGTTTTGGTTAAATTACACCCAGTTAACATACGAATGTGGGCAGCTTTAGGCAGTTATGTGGCACTGGTGGTATTCCTTTGGCCCAGACAAAATGAATGTGAGCCTGAAGTGGCCCACCTGTACAATGGCAAAGAGGGGCCAAAGAATTTAAATCATAAATGGGCCATTTAAGGCCAAGATTTGACACTTATTTCTAAATGTACTCTGAACGTGAGCCTAATGTGTATTGTGTCAATTTGGCCCAAATGATGGAGGACAAATGATGGAGGACAAATGTGGGCCACAGTTGGCAAAAATGTGGCATAGACATTTTAGGTTAATCTGTGTCTAAACCTAAAGTGGCTCACACGTATTATAAGTGCAAATGTGGCCCAGTTATCTTAAGACATATGTGGGCCACTTTTGGCAAATATTTGGCACAGTAAGCTCTGGCTATTACAGCTATGAGCCTAATGTGGCCCAGTGAAAATATGGCAAATGTGGCCAGTTATTTTTAAACGTAGGTGGGCTAGTTTGGCAAATATTTGGCACAGTAAACTCTGGCTAATGCAGCCGTTAGCCTATAGTGGCCCAGTGAAGATATGGAAAATGTGACCCAGTTATCTTAAAACATATGTGGGCCACTTTTGGCAAATATTCGGCACAGTAAGCTATGGCTAATGTGGATTTGAGCCTGTAGTGGCCCAGAGAAGATACGGCAAATGTGGCCCAGTTATCCTCAGACAATTTTTTGTAAAAAAACAAAAACAAAAACAGGTACAATTTTGAAATTCACTGATGTTAACCAATGTTTAGTCCATTATTAGAAGTACGTAATAACATGCTTGCACATGCCACAGAATCATGAAGGTTTATTAGCTTAAACCACTCTATGGTTAAACGTATGCTTACAGAGACATCAATAATCAGCGTATGAACCTCAACAACGGTGAAAATTAACAAAATGAACAAAACTCACAAACCTAACAAACAGGAGACTAAAAGTGACAAAATTAACAACGTCAACATAAACAGCATAATCAACAGCAAATAATGAAAACTGGCGCATCAATAAGCTATAGAATGTATTCATATTGTAATGCATGCTGGGATTTTTGTACTTTGCCACATCCAATTGTAAGGTGTAGGCCAGATCTGGGCCAGTATAAAAGTAATTTGTGGCCCAGAATATTGTCAGTTCTGGTTCATTTAGTTGAATTCTGGCTGATATGTGGTATTGCTTTGGCTTATTTGTGGCCCAGATCTGACAAACAGGAGTGGACCGCCCTAGATCCATAATTCCATTTAGTATGTAGTCCAGATGTAAGTGTCTGGTGTGGGCCGGATCTGGGCCAGAGCAAAAGCAAACGGTGGCCCAGAATAGGGCCAGTTCTGGTTCATTTGGTTGAATTCTGGCTGAAATGTGATATTGCTATGTCTTAATTGTGGCCCAGATCTGGCAAACTGGAGAAGACCGACCAAGTGCCATCATTCTATGCGGTATGTGGGCCGGATGTAAGTGTCTGGTGTGGGCCAGATATGAGCCACATGAATTTTTCTAGCTGGGCAATATCAGATTGGATTAAAAAGGAGCATGCTAATATTTAAGTCAAAAAATAAACCTGGCTATTGTGTGGTGTAATGGTAATCTGTAAGGAATCTGAATATAACCAATGTGTGACAATATATGTAGTTTTGTTTCAAATTTTAAGATATCTTTGAACAGTATTTTGAGAAAAAATTGTCTGTTTGAACTGACTGCAAAATACACTTATTTGTCCTCCTATAAAAAAACATGAACTCTGTAATTATATTTATAACAAAAAGGACTTATAAGAGACAGAAGAGAAATTATGATCTCATTTACTGTAACTGAAAAGTGCTTTTCCCATAGATGATTATAATTCATTTGACATGTATTGAAATTTACAATACAGGTGTTCATTTAATAAATGGAATAAAACTTTATTGTGTTAAAAAAAAAAAAAAAAAACAGAAATTATAAAGTCACTCACAGGCTCCTGTCCTCTTTGTGCTGCTGTTTAAAGAAAGCAAAATAGTTTGAGTTTAATACTGACAGAAATATGACTGAATCAACTTTAAAAAGGAACTAATCATTTGAAATATTGAAATACATTATAGGATGGTCATTATGAAAAGATCTGGCTGCAGACCAACTTGCACATGCACTCTTAGACACATGTGCTTAAAACGCCTACATTTTACCTCACCTTCAAAGTTAATATCCATGAGGACTTCCTCTGCGCTCACAACTATATTTGTGTCTAACATTTTCACCCTCACAACCATAGCGAAACTAAATGAGGCTGAATGAATTTGATGTTTTCCAAAAAATATATATAAAAAATTGAAAATCAATGGAAAAAGTTAAAAAAAAACTTTAGATTCATTTGTCCAAAATAAATTTGAAACCCAATATAAATCTAATATTACTTTACAATTCTGCAAAGGCTTGGGTCTAGAGCACAAAAGTATATTTCTTGAGTGCGCACAAACACACATGTATGACTGCAACAGAGAACATTTTTTATAGTCTAAAAATATGGCATAAGTCTGAAAAATGTTCTAAAAAGTACTAATACTAAAGCACAAAATCAACATGGACACACACGTACACAAACACAAATGCACGTGTATTTGGCTGAGTAAAGAGCAAACAATTAAAATACATGTGAAAATTGCCTTTTTTAACAATGAATCTAATCTTTTTTCTCTAACTTCAGATGCCAGTATTTTATTTCTAAAAAATAAACCAATACCCATAAACCCTAATATAAAATTTAGGTCAGATTTTTTTTTATTTTGTATTAAATAATATAGTATTTTTTATAGTATTAATAAATAATAATTAGTGATTTTGTATTCAATAAAAAAAATCATAAGACAAATTATGGCGTGATTGCATGTTTGTGTAGCTAATGTATAAGAAAAGTTCAAAATATCCACGCAAACACTACATAAATGCAAAGTTAAGAAGTGACTGTAAAAATTATACATAGTTTACCATATATAAATATGCCATATAGTTACACTTTACATACCTGAAACTTGCCTACAGCACTTATTCATTGTTTCTCTTGTAGTTGTGTAAATTGCAAAATTCATTTGTAAATCGCTTTGGATAAAAGCATCTACTAAATGGCTAAATGTAAATGTATATTTCCCTATGTAATTGGTCTTTCATTATTTGGGTTCAGGAGGACCCCAAGGAACCTTTTTTTTCCTGAGCTGCTCTAGGGTTAATAGCAATATTAATAGCCTCACAGCAAATAAGTCACTGCGGTTCGAGCATTTTTGTGTGGAGTTTGCATGTTAATGTGGGTTTCCTCCTGGTGCTCTGATTTCCCCCACAGTCCAAAGACGGGGTATAGGTGAAGTGGATAAGCTAAATTGTTCGTAGTGTATGTGTGTGAATGGGAGTGTATTCGTGTTTCCCAGTGATGGGTTGCAGCTGGAAGGGCATCCGCTGCGTAAAAAATATGCTGGATAAGTTAGCGGTTCATCCCGCTGTGGCGACCCCTGATTAATAAAGGGACTAAATTGAAAGGAAAATGAATGAATGAATAATAATAATCATAATAATACATTTATTTTATATAGCGCCTTTACTTTCTCAACAAACAAACAAGCATCAAATATGCAACTATGATAAAAGATAAAAATCGAGGAGCTTCGAACTAAAAAATTTTAAGTAAAGATTTAAAAATAGCAAGAGACAGCTGGGAGATAATGCCACAGTTCAGGAGCATGATAAAAAAAAGCTCTGGCTCTGGATTGCAGACAAGTAGAAGACCACACTGAGAATATTATAAATTTCTGGTAGGAGTGTAGAGTGTTAAATGATCTGCCAGATATTGTGGTGCAAGTTTATGCACGGTTTTTTACGTAAGCAATTTTTTTTTTCATTTATCCATTAATTCACAAGCAGCCAATGTTTGATTAGGTTTGAAGCAAAACTGCATGACCGCAACTCCCTACAGTAAGACAGCACCTGCCAATGCCTGATTTAATTAGATCAAACTCATGTTGATTTTATGAACAACAAAAAACATTTACCTCCACTTGCTTGTCCTTTCTGTTGAAGTCTTTGATTTAGACTATAAAGACAAAAATATTTAGTTATCACTACCACATTAATGTCTTGCAAAACAGCAGCTTTTACAAACTGTTTTCATTACTCGTTTTTTTTTTACACATGAAAAATAAATAAAAAAGAACACTTTTTTTATAAGAGTAACTATGAATGGACACAGTTTAGAAAAAGAAAATACAAACTGAATTTTCAGGATTTTAAAATATCTGTTTAAACGCATAAAATCTAGATTAAGGATATTTAAATATCAACATTCAATCTAATGTGTTAAAGCTTTGATGATTCTATCTTAATCACATTTTGTTGTTTTTTGTTAAATAGACAATAAGACCACAGATGCCTCCAACTGCTACTAAAACTCCAATGACAATCCCAGCTATTGCTCCTGCTGACAGTCCTCCTCCCAAACCAGCTTCACCACCCTCTGTGACAAATATACAAGACAAAAGATCATGTACTGTATACAATATAAACTGCAGTGATGTTAACCTTTAGTTTAGTTTCAACTAGGGATGCACGACATATCGGCGGCCATATCGTTATTGGCCGATAAATGCTGTTTTTAAGATTATCGTCGACGTCTAAATTAGGCTGATATCTTTAAGCCGATAAATTATGTAATTTTACAGAACTGCCTGCCTCACGCATGTTTGGGCGGAACTTGTTCAGACTTGTCCAGCACACTATAATGAAGCTGCCCTCACATTGTTTATTCCTTTAACGTCCATCCTTTCTTCATGTGGTATTGCTGTGCGTTAATATCTCAGTAAGTAGATATGTATGATTAAGTGTCATTGTGTATTTTGCTTTAAATCGCCTTAGGAAAAATATTACATGTGTAAACATAACAGCAGCGATGCACACGTGTTAATCAACTTGTTGGGTTGTTTGTGATCTAACATGATTATTTGTTCTTATCGATGTGTTGCTTGCAATGGGTTGTTGATGTAAGATTGTATTCAGTTTGATCGGAATATTCATATTAATTATAACGAGCGCGCGTTAGGGCTTTCACTGCGCGCGCACACACACACACAAACACACACACACACACGCACACACACACACTGATCTGCTGATCTGACAGCCTTCACAGCAGCACAGGGTGCATCTCAACTCACTGCACATTCTGTCTTTATATTCTGCTCTTTGTTTGTCAAAGTCATCTGAGCTCAATTCTTAGCTGCTCCGCCTGCAGTTGAGTGAAAGTCACAGCGGTTTATCATAAACTTTTCATCTATATTTTTTCCCGCAATTCACAGCAAGAACGAACACAGAAGCGTTGTCTGATTGACAAGCAGCAGCTACATGTGTTTAAAAGAATTTAAAACGGAAAATAGGAGGAATTTATGTATTACTTTGGAATCTACTTTTCCAAAGTAATACATTCTATATCTAGCTTTTTGCTTGTACGGTGGCTCTGAACTGTCAAAACATCTCTAAAAAAGGCTTTTTTGGACATTACATATTTGTACATGTGTACATTATTGTAACACGTTCCATTTAAGAACATTTGAACTGGATTCAGTCTTTAGCTCTTTCATTTTCATTCTGTTTAAAATATATTTAACTTGCTTGTTGATTAAATCCTGTTTTGTTATTTAACTTATTATTTTTATGCAACAGTCAAGTTGCATGTTAATTTGCTATGAAGAAAAGGAAGTAATGTATATTTTGCATCCTGATTTATGTGAAATCGTCAATATAGGTCTAATATTACTCAAATTAGATTTTTTTCTTAGATCTGATTTTTTTTGCATGGCTGTTCACACTGCTCTTATAAATGTGGCTAATATCAGATTTGTAGTGTGACCAGATCATGGTCCTAAACTGACCCGCATGCACAGAAGTACAGATACGGACAGCAAAAAATGTCTAATTATGCACACACGATACTTTATGAAGTAAGCACTTTGTCAGATTATGCTTATATGATTATTGCCTTTTTCACAGACAACCGTGTTGTATTTCCTGAACTATAAATGATTGTTCTGCTACTACTAATGTGTATTTCGGCATTTGAAATCTAAAATACTGTAAGGCTCTTGTAATTAAAAATACTGATCGTTTGTGATTTATGACAATTTGTTTGACCACCGGTGTAGTGAACTCATCAAGGGTAACTGAGCAGCTACAGACTGAACTGTGAAGGCAGAGTTGTTTTATCTTTGTTTGCAGAGTTATTTCATTTTACTTTGTTATAAACAGCAGACATGTACAGAAGGGGGGTTTGGGTGCTCGAGATCTGACCTAAAAAGATCAGATTCCATGCGGTTTGTGCTGTTCACACTATCTTTACCTGAGTCACATGTGGCCAAAAAAAATCTGATTCGGGCCACATTTGGCTGCAGTGTGAATGTAGCCCAAGTCTGAAGGGTTTTCGGTTATCGATTTCGGCCAAAAAAATCCATATCGGTGCATCCCTAGTTTAAACTTTAGTTTAGTTGGCTGTAACTGTTTACCTTGAACTAGTAAAACATGTCTTTGAGATTCACGTCTGTTTATGACTCTATTTAAGGCTGTACAGATGTATTCTCCACTGTCTGTGAAGTCAGTCTTATCTATGGTCAATGCATCTTTGGTCACACCAGTGTCTGACCCATTAAACGTCCAGCTGAATGAAGCAGAAGGTTCAGAATTGGCAGAGCAAGACAAAAACACTTGAACCCCTAAATCCACCATATCTGGACCCTTAATAGAAACACCTTCTGGTCCATCTATAAAACAGACAAGAGACTCACTGTTAGAGGAACAAACTGAGAGCCGAAGAATGTCTAGATTTCATCAGATCTGATGTTAAAATGTTTCACACTCACAGTTGATGATCAGGATGAGTTTTGCCGTCTCAGAGCTGACAGGGTTACTGTATGTACACTGATATTCTCCAGTGTCTGATCTCTGCACTGGACTGATGGACACTGATCTGTTATCAGATGAGAAGATGATTCTGCTGCTAGAAGACAGAGGACTGTTATCTTTCATCCACTGCACAGAGGTGACGTTGCCGTTTCCCTTTGAGGTAAAGTTGGCAGATGATTCACCCTCGATTAATGCTTCAGTTTCATGTGGACCAGTGACCGCAACGTAGTTTATTTTTTCTGTGTTAGAAAAAGATAAAGAACCAAGAAATTTTATAAAATCTGTAGTTTTGGCCAATTGTTGGTGCTTGGCTGAATTAAAGATCTGAGTCATCTTATGTGAACTAAGGAAAATCTGGTTGCATGCACAGGACTTTTCTTTGATCTTGAGCATCCCTTGCCACAATAATGTAGGCTATAACACACTTACTCTTTAGCAGTTTTTTTTTTTTTTTTTTTTTTAGTATATTTAGATACTGTACAGAGTCATTTCATTATTTAATGTTTTAGTTTGGCATTTAAAATTTAAGGACACACTGTATAAATTGATTAAAAAATATTTAGCTGTTGGATTAGTCAGAAGTTAGTGGAAAGTAACTCTTTTTTTATTCCTGTTACAATCAGTGCTGAAAACCATGCAGTGCTTAAGCATGCAGATGTGTTCTTTGACAAGGTGTAATTGGATGTATGCTTATTTATTATGTACCAGAGTACCAAGTGTTGAATTGTGTAGTTTTAAATACTCATTACCTCATTGTAATCAGAAATCACCTGCATGTAGAATTAAATACAAGTTTTAGCCAGTATTAGCAAAAAAACCTCACCGAACACCTGTAGCGAAGTTTCTCCTTTATGTGAATTTCCTCTACTAGTAATCACAGTCAGACTGTATGATCCAGAATCCTCCAGTTTCAGGTCCCAGAGCTCCAGAGCAAGAGTGTTTTTGTCAAAACTGACTTTGTCTTCATATGCTGGGAATATTAAGGGTGAATCAGGGTTTCCATTCAATATAAAAATGTCTCCAAAATGCCAGGAAACTGACAAAATCTCTGATGGTATATTATCAGGTGTGAACTTCACACTTTCTCCTACTGCCCCATTAGTCAGCTCAGGAAACTGAAGATCTTGATTAAAACTTTGACCTGTGAAGAGAAAAAATATATGTATTTGCTATGAAATGCAAATTTTCATTTGATTTTTAAATGTGTAGTTTAAAGAAAAGAGAAAAAGAAATCATTATAAGTTAAAAGGTCTGATCTCCCTAAAATGCTTTTGTATGTTTAAGAATGCCCTTATGGAAAATAAGTATTTCTTCGTTAAGTCCATTTAATGAGGTATAAAGTTAAAGTATCTATTATTCATTAAGCACACACACACACACACACACACACACACACACACACACACACACACACACACACACACACACACACACACGCACACACACACACACACACAAATAAAACAAAAACAATAAATATAATTTATTCATTAATTTATTAATTTTCTTTTTGGGTTAGTACCTTTATTAATCAGGGGTCGCCACGTTTTACGCAGCAGATGCCCTTCCAGCTGCAGCCTATCACTGGGAAACACCCATACACTCTTATTCACACACATACACTATGGACATCTTAGCTTACCCAATTGACCTATAGCATGTCTTTGGACTTGTGGGGGAAACCAGAGCACCCAGAGGAAACCCCTGTGAACACTGGGAGAACATGCAAACTTCACACAGAAACGCTTACCGGCCCAGCCGTGTCTCGAACCAGTGAGTTTCTTGCTGTGAGGCGATTGTGCTACCCACTGCGCCACCCCTAAATATAGTTTACCTAATAGTTAATTTAGTTGCAGACATTTTTTTTATTGTTAATGACAAACGGAAACAAGAAAGACATTTAGTTCCTGCAGAGTTTTAATTAAGATTAAAAAGATTAATTGAAGAGATCCTCTGCTGAGACTGAAGGTGTTTTGTGTTGATTTTATTTAATGTAATATTTCTTTAATGTTTATTTAATTATTTAACTGTTTGTGTTTATTGTTTCTTTTTCCTTTAGCGATTGTGATTATGAACAGCAGATGCTCATCTCATTTGTGTTCATTAACTCTGTCAAGTGAACTATATCAATGAACTAATTTACATAGTAGTGAATGAGGGTACAAAGTGTGATTTCAAACACAGACTTCAAATGTTGACTGAGCTCTGTTAATTCACAGTTTTCTACTGTTAGTTACTTTCTCGAAAACATGAAAATTACCCAGAATGCACCATTTTTAACCCTGATTAAAGGCCCCAAATAAAGACTAAATCTTCACTGCCATGGTGACTTATTTTTAATATAAGATTTAAAACTTTAATTTCTCAGTAACTGTGACTGAGGTCTTGGATAGACGTCTGATAGTAATAAAGTCAAACAGGTTAGTTAAGTAAAGCTGCTGATGCTGTTTGTAGAGCTTTTTAATAATCCTCTGTTGAGATTATGAGAGATTTTATGTTTTTGTTGATTTCATCAAAGTGTGTCTGTCCAATAAAAGACGTCATAATGAATTTCATTCTGAACCAAAGGGGACATCATTTTAACTTTTCAACTTTCAACTTTCACTAAAAGATGTAATTTGGAAAATTCTACTTAGTGGGTGTGCTCATGTTTAGGTGTTGTACTCAGAGCCGGATTAATCAATGGGCCTTATGGGCACAGGCCCAGGGACCCATGTGCACTTGGTGTCACGATCACACATAGAAGACGTGGAACCCAATTGCAAGTAAAAATAACAGTATTTAATGAAGATATCACAAAAAACAACAGGTAAATGGATAAATGGCTGAAAGTGCAGATGATCCGTGAAGAGGAATAATCAGAAGACAGATGGGTCGGCAGCGCCGAATAAATGTCCATAATAAACATCAACAGAGCGGATCAAACATCATCATAGATGTAAACAGGAAGCTTCTAGTAGCTGCACAAGGAAGACAACCAGCCACTCGCCACCAGCAAAACCCAATGAGGAGAGCCTGACAGGAACACAGAAGACCGTGAACATACAACGAACTGACAACGTGAGGCAGGAACACTGAACATTTATAGGAGCAGAAATGCGCTGCACCTGGAGCGCTGATTATCAGCTGAGCGGTGCTAGGCAACGATCAGGTGACAAGGATCATGTGACCGCTCAGCTGATGACACAAAACAATAGCACTGACAGGCACGCGACTCCCACACAAACACAGAGACAAAAGCACACACGCTAGCACTGCAACAGACGATCGCTACATAACATGAACAATCACACAACACAGACACATCAAAAAGAGCAGATAGATCTACAACCGTGACATTACCCTCTCCCCTAGGAACGCCTCCTGGCGTCCCCAGACGAGCTTACCTGGCGATTGTAATCATCGATAAGAGAATAATCCAGTATGTCTCCGGCCGGAACCCAACTTCTCTCCTCCGGACCGTAACCTTCCCAGTCCACCAAGTACTGAAATCCTCGTCCCCTCCGTCTAGAGTCCAGAATGCGCTTAACCGAATAGGCAGTTTCCCCATCTACGAGGTGGGGCGGGGGGGGAACTGGTGAGTGCGGATTAATTGCCGTATGAATAACGGGCTTTACTTTGGATACATAGAACACGGGATGAACTCTCCTGTACGCTGGAGGTAATTTGAGGCGGATTGCCACAGGACTAATGATTTTAGTGACAATAAAAGGGCCGATAAATTTAGGAGCTAACTTATTACAAACGGTGCGGAGAGGAATATTTTTGGAAGAAAGCCACACTTTTTGACCGACAACGTAAACGGGAGGCTTAGACCGGTGGCGATCGGCTTTAGCCTTGGCGCGCGACCCCACTTGGAGGAGGGTCTGTCTGGCCTTGTTCCAAGTGCGACGGCACCTCTGGACAAAGGCGTGAACGGAGGGAACCGCGACTTCGGATTCCAGACTGGGAAAAACTGGTGGCTGGTAACCTAGGCTACACTGAAACGGAGAAAGGCCCGTAGCCGACACTGGTAACGAATTATGTGCGTACTCCACCCACGAAAGTTGCTGACTCCAAGAGGAGGGATTCTGTGAGACCAAACATTGCAATGTGCGCTCAAGATCCTGATTGGCTCTCTCGGTCTGGCCGTTACTCTGGGGATGAAAACCAGAAGAAAGACTAACAGTGGCCCCCAATAAACGGCAGAATTCTCTCCAAAATTTAGAGACAAACTGAGGCCCCCTGTCCGAAACCACATCCGTCGGGAGGCCATGAATGCGAAAGACATGATCAATGACAGCAACCGCTGTCTCTCTGGCTGATGGTAATTTGGGCAGAGAGATAAAATGAGCAGCCTTCGAGAACCTGTCCACCACGGTCAAAACTACCGTGTTACCGTTAGAGGATGGAAGACCCGTAACAAAATCTAGCGAGATGTGTGACCAGGGTCTCGAAGGCACTGACAGCGGTTGAAGGAGCCCAGCAGGTGGGCGATTGGAAGACTTAGAAACCGCACAGACAGAGCAAGCCAATACAAAATCGCGCACATCACGAGCCATAGCTGGCCACCAGAATCGTTGTTTGATAACGAATAATGTGCGACTCACCCCTGGATGACAAGCTACCTTGGAGGAATGGCCCCACCGGATAACGTCGGACCGTAATTCCTCCGGCACAAATAACCGACTCGGTGGGCATCCGATCGGGGGCGTTACCCCATTCAGAGCTGTGCGAACCCTCGACTCGATCTCCCAGGAAATGTTTGCTACAACAATCCTCTGGGGAAGCACAGGATCAGGTGATGACGTGCGATCTGACGGGTCGAAAAGACGTGATAATGCGTCAGGTTTGATGTTTTTGGAGCCTGGTCTGTAAGAGATCGTAAAATTAAACCGTCCGAAAAATAATGCCCACCGAGCCTGCCTGGAGTTTAATCTTTTAGCGGATCTAATATACTCAAGATTCTTGTGATCGGTCCAGACGATAAAAGGCACCCCCGAGCCTTCTAACCAGTGACGCCACTCCTCCAATGCAAGCTTGACGGCCAACAACTCTCGATTACCAATGTCGTAATTTCTTTCTGCAGAGGATAATCGATGAGAAAAATACGCGCAAGGATGGATCTTGCCATCCGAGGCAGAGCGCTGGGACAGGATGGCTCCGACCCCAACCTCTGACGCATCGACCTTCACCACAAATTGCCGGGAAGGATCAGGGGCAATGAGGATTGGGGCTGAAACGAAGCAGCCTTTCAGTTTGGAAAAGGCAGCTTCTGCTGCGCTAGACCACCTGAACGGCGTTTTGGAGAAGGTCAAGGAAGTCAGAGGCGCGGCGAGCTGGCTGAAATTGCGAATAAAACACCGGTAGAAATTGGCAAAGCCCAGAAATCTTTGCAGGGCCTTACGAGAATCTGGGGTTGGCCAATTTACCACAGCCTGAATCTTCTCTGGATCCATACGCATCCCCTCGACTGACACGATATGCCCCAGGAACTGAACAGACTGTGCATGAAAAACGCATTTCTCCGCCTTGACATAAAGCCCATTCTCTAACAGCCTCTGCAACACTCGCCTGACGTGTTGAATGTGTTCCTGGAGAGAGTGAGAAAAAATCAGAATGTCATCCAGGTAGACATAGATAAACTGATCTATCATATCTTTTAACACGTCGTTGACGAGTGCCTGAAAAACAGCCGGAGCGTTGGAAAGGCCGAAGGGCAGAACGCAATACTCAAAATGCCCTCTAGGGGTGTTAAACGCTGTTTTCCACTCATCCCCGGGTCTTATGCGAACCAAATGATAAGCATTGCGAAGATCTAATTTTGTAAAAAAGTTCGCCCCCTGCAGGCGCTCGAAGGCTGAGGACATCAGCGGCAAAGGGTAAGTGTTTTTTACCGTGATGCTGTTCAGCCCCCGATAGTCAATGCACGGGCGAAGGGAACCATCCTTCTTTTTCACAAAAAAAAATCCCGCCCCCGCCGGTGAAGAAGACGGGCGGATGATCTTGGCTGCTAGAGAATCAGAAATATATTTCTCCATGGCCTCCCTCTCTGGAACAGACAGCGAATATAACTTGCCCTTAGGCGGAGATGTACCTGGCAATAATTCTATAGCACAGTCATAGGGACGATGAGGAGGTAGAGAAGCAGCCCGAGACTTACTGAACACTCTCTTCAGGTCATGGTACTCACGGGGCACGTTTGACAGATCCACCTGCTCCTCCTGAAACACAGAACAAGGAACAGTGGAAGAAGCAGACACTAAACAAGACTTATGACAACTCTCACCCCAAGAAAAAACTGCGTTGTGACCCCAATTAATGTGGGGCTTGTGTAACACCAACCATGGATGTCCCAAAATGACAGGATATTTAACAGTGTTGGTGAGAAAGAAAGAAATGGTTTCAGTATGATTACCAGAAGTGATGAGTCTAATGGGAGCTGTGATGTGTGTGATAGATGGAAGGGAAATTCCACTAAGTGCGTGAACAGCGATGGGTGAAGAGAGAGGAGTAAAAGGAATTTTCAGTTCATTGACTAGTTTAGAGTCAATAAAATTCCCCTCAGCTCCTAAGTCAATGAGTGCGTGGCAGACATGAAAGTTCGAATTAAAACACAACTTAATAGGTAATGATGTGTTAATGGAGTAGTCCTTCTCACCCATAATTTCACCCACCAATAAACTTCTATCAGTGGATGACTTACTGCTCTTGATTGGACATATGGCCGCAAAATGACCTGCAACACCACAGTACATGCATAACCCCCCTGTACGCCGGCGACGTCTCTCCTCTGATGAGAGACGAAATCCTCCCACTTGTATGGGCTCAGGATCCGGAGCAGGGGGCGTTACCTCAGCGAAACGGGTCTGTGAAGAAAAGCGTTGAGAGCGACGCTCCTTATGAACCAATCTGCGCTGCAGTCGACTGTCAACTCTAATGGCCAGATTGATTAGATGCTCCAGTGTTTTGGGAAGTTCCAAGGCGTAAATCTCATCCTTGATGTGATCCGCTAATCCATGAAGAAACATGTCCCGTTGTGCCTCGCTGTTCCACCCGCACTTGATCGCCAGGGTGCGGAAATCAATGGAGTACTCTGCCACAGTATGATTCTCCTGACGGAGCTCCGCGAGCCTTCTGGAAGCTTCTCTCCCTGATGCCGCTAGATCGAAGACCACCCTAAGTTCCTCTGAAAAGGCTTTAAAAGTCTCACAACAAGGAAGTTTCCTCTCCCAAACCGAGGTCCCCCATAATGCCGCTTTGCCCGACAGTAAATTAATTAAAAACGCCACTTTGCTCTTCTCGGTGGGGAAAGATGAGGGCTGAAGCGATATAAAAAGAGAGCATTTAGCTAAAAAGGCTTTGCATAAATCGGGTTCACCTGCATAGCTTTGTGGTGGAGGAAGTCGCGGTTCGGAAGTCCGGGGACTCTCATTAAAAGCAGGGCAGACAGATGGTTCGACGGGAGGGATAGACAGTGTGGAACCGGAGCTGAAGCCCGAGCTGAGTCGCTGGATTTGATTAGCAAGCTCGGAGACCTGGTTGATAAGTGCATGGATGGCCTGGCTGGTTATCTCCATCTGCTGATCCTGCTGATCCATTCTGGCCACACTGCCGAGCAGCACTTCCTGAATCTGCGCCGTACTCGCTGGGTCCATGTTGGTCAGTTCGTTCTGTCACGATCACACATAGAAGACGTGGAACCCAATTGCAAGTAAAAATAACAGTATTTAATGAAGATATCACAAAAAACAACAGGTAAATGGATAAATGGCTGAAAGTGCAGATGATCCGTGAAGAGGAATAATCAGAAGACAGATGGGTCGGCAGCGCCGAATAAATGTCCATAATAAACATCAACAGAGCGGATCAAACATCATCATAGATGTAAACAGGAAGCTTCTAGTAGCTGCACAAGGAAGACAACCAGCCACTCGCCACCAGCAAAACCTAATGAGGAGAGCCTGACAGGAACACAGAAGACCGTGAACATACAACGAACTGACAACGTGAGGCAGGAACACTGAACATTTATAGGAGCAGAAATGCGCTGCACCTGGAGCGCTGATTATCAGCTGAGCGGTGCTAGGCAACGATCAGGTGACAAGGATCATGTGACCGCTCAGCTGATGACACAAAACAATAACACTGACAGGCACGCGACTCCCACAC